ATTAATATAAAATGTCGGTCTCTTCTCGCATTACCGTTCGGCGTTCCTTGTAAGAGTAAGTAAAATAAATGAGCAATTTGGGAATAGCGGCCGTGATTCTGATTTCCAAAGTAATTTATTACTGTATCGCTTTATACATAATACAGCAATAAATACGGCATTATTCAGGGATGCCATCCCTCTGTGCCACAGGCGCGCGCGCGCGCGCGCGCGCGCGCGCGCTGTTTGAGAAACGCGCTCCTCCATGCGGAAGCAAAAGGCTTACCTTCAGGTTACCCAGAATACCGTGAAAATAGGCGAGCATCCTGGCGTTCCGCTGTAATATCGCGTTCAAATCGACGGGTATGATGTCGCTCGTGGAAACGTTGAGGAGGCTGAGATTCTTGTCCCTGTTAGCCTGTATGCACCATCTGTAGGAGAAGTCCCAGCCGCTCTCCGCCGCAGCTTTCAAGTCATTGTAGAGCGCCCTTTGGTCCTGCTCCGGCAGTTGCTGCGCCAGCTGGTAATCCTCCCTGTGAGAGAACACGCACACGTTCGTTCTTACGTGCAGGTCCCTTATAATTAACACGATGATGGAAGACCCACCGCCCACCGGTGATCGATGCAACTGTCGAAACGGATGCTGCACGAGAAAAATCGATAGACGCTCAGCATCGTTCTTCTTCTCGTGTGCCTCTCTCGATTAGGAACTAAAGAGGACGCGAACGGACTGGTGATCCATTAAATGTGAAGGATACAATCCTTTTACCCCCCAAACTTTTTTCGGAGAAAAGATACCCCAATTTTGCTAAATACGTGACGTTGATTCGAATTTCGTTAAATCACATTTGACTCCGAATATACTTTGCAAAGATTCCAACTAGGTAATAGTCAATTCCATATCATAGTCCGAATCTTTTAGCTTTAAAACGATTTTCCTTTTGACAGTTATATCGTTTACCTAGGGAACTTTTTAACGATATCTTCCCCGAAGAAAAACTTACTTGTAACTCTCCGGTCGAGGCCCGCGACTGTTTACCACGTAACGCGCCATCTTGTAGGTCTTACCGTCTTTCTTTACATCTACCGTCTTTTCGTTTTGCCAATATTCAAACTCTGTCTCGAGGATTGCTATGTTTTTCTTCAGAAATTTACGATCCATCGTACGCTCGTAATATTTTGCAACCTGGAAGACATTCTCTCGTCATTAGGAAAAAATAGATTCTGAGTTTTTTCAAGACATAGCTCGAAGACAGATATATTCGATATTGACAGAATCTCTACATAAGCTACAAAATCGACTCTGATACAAAACTAGAAACATGCTCATCCTCTGCTACTAGGAATACGTACCATCGGTATCAACAAGGGCGGTTGGCTTCGCGATAAGTAATAAACTCTACCACCATTCGGTACGAAACCGTATCTCTCCACCATAGAGAGAAAATTTTCGATCATTCCTTTAACGGTGACGGGCATGTCACATAACAACAGTCCCTCGATTATCCAATAGCTGTCCCAGTAATAAAACTCTGTAGCAAAAGAATTGGATCTTGTATTTCGCAAATTTCTTCTCTGTTCATTTCCCACAATATTGAACTTTTTTAGTTTGTTTCATATTACTCGGAAGCAACCACACATAATGTCTGACATAATGTAAAATCAAAACTTTAAGAGCACAAGTAATAAATGGACAGATAATATATTCGTTTTATAATTATAATGAAGCTCTTAACAATAAATTAATAAAAAAAATAATTAATAAAATAATATAATAATAATAATAATAATAATAATAATAATAATAAAATAATTAATAAATGTTCCCCGGAATAATTTTTTAACTGTTTAGTTTTCTACAAAGGAAAGATCTATAAAATTTACGTTATAACAAATATCATAAAAATTATGATCGCTTCTTTTTAACAGCGTAAACACATAAAAGTACGTAACGACTTCTAGTGGCAAACACATAAAAATAGGCAAGCAGTCGCAAAAATGTCAACATTATCACCATCAAGAATAAAGAAGTTTCTGCAAACGTAATTCTACTTAGAGCTCACGGAGCACGAGATTTTTATGTATACAATTTAAGGGAAAAGTTACAAACTCAAGAATATAAAAAGACGAAATAAAATTTACTACTTACAGATCTACTTAAAAATTCTTTTTGCTCGATAGTAAGGATATTTTTAAGAGTAATTTACATAATTCTGGATTAGCTACAAATTCATTTCACTTGGCAAACTGAAACGTTTTATGAACTGAATATTTATACAAGTCACATTGATTTAAAAAAAAATTAAACAGCAAAAATTTCGCACGCGGACAATCACCTTTAAATCGCCCTCCGGGAATAACGAAAGTATTGTTCACGTAAATTAAACTGTGCCGTTGCGGATTGACCACCAAATCTCCATTTATCTTCCTCGCCAGCGTTTTCCAGATGTAGTTCAAACGTCTCGCCCATTCGCGAAACTGAGGATCCTGTATGAATTTTAGAATGGTGGGATTTTCCTTCCAGTCCGGTAACGTTGAATTATCTAGTTCATCCTGCGTGGCAAAGTTTTCTGCGACGAACGCAGCTATCTCCGTGCGATTAGGAGAGTTGTTGGTAGCCTTCATCAAAGCGTTAAAGCTAACGCAAACCAAATCAAATTAGCTCTGATGCACTACGCTTCTTTTCTCTCTCATTCTCTGGATTTACATTTCTCTGGATTTGTTTTTAAAAAAGTTTTGTACAGTCAAATAGAAAAGTATTATCTTAATAGTATAAATTGTAACATATAAACCGCGTGTTTTACGCATATTTTTAAGTGCAATTTTGTTTATAATTTTTATATGTATTTTATTGTAAATATATTTATGTAAATGTATTTAAATATTTTTATATGTAAAAATGTATATATGTACTCTGTTCTTTTTTCGCGCGTGCGCGCGCATACGTTTAGAATTCTATTTTAAATTGTGACATAATTTATAAGTTGTTTAAAATAGGCTTAGAACAGAAAATAAAGATTTAATAAATTTAATAACAACAATTTATTATTTTGAAACAGCTATTTATTACTTTGAGATTTTTTAAATTTATTTTTTAATTTATTATTTTTAAACTTCATGCCAGTTTTTGTTCTTATTTTTTACGCATTTCATATAATATTATCATGTATCGCTTTATTAATGTTATCTTGCGATGGAAAATTTATGTGATAACACGATAACAGATATTTTTGATACCGTCAGTTTAATATTCTAAATTTTATTATTACTCTTATCATAAGTAATGCAAAGTAAATAACTGGGAATTATTGCTTTATATATTTTTTCCTTTAATCAATATTTATTCAGCTTTTTTTACGAAAACGACGATTCTTTTGCGCAATATGAAGCGAGTGTGCAAATTACTATGAAATTATAGGATTACGTAATACATCTGCAGAAACAGATGCGAATCTAATTCCAGACAATACACTAAATATAATCCTAGTACGAAACTCTATTCATTACTCCGTTATCACAATCAAGTTGAAGTCACAACAGGTTCGATCTTATGAGTGAGCGTAATCCTACACGAGAAGAAGAAAACTACTTCGTAGGTTAAATCGAATGAAAACGAACGTAACTGGGATGTCGTAAAACAGAAACCATAAATACTCCTACGCAGGAAACGATTTAACACGGATATGGTGTCCATGTGCAAGGGTGGTCGACGGCAGTTTATATTTGCGACAGCAGTCCATTAAAGAACTCGAACGATCGTTGTACCCGTCTGTCGACATCTTTTCATAAATATATGTACACGTGTAAAGTCTAAAGTTATTCACGAAATAGCGCGAAATATTATGACAAGATAAATTGCGTATTTTGCATAGGGATTGCTTTAGATATTATTTCATTATAATTTCTGTGAAAATAGCGCGAGTTAATTAATAAATTTAATTGATAATTAATTCAACCGACAAAATTGCTTATGGCAAAATTTCTAAATGCATAATTCATTATGCTTGATTTACGAACAGAGCGTGATTAATAATTCTATCTACGTTAACAAAATATTGCATATATTATTTCACCGCTTAAGTTAATCGGAATTTGCTTCACGTTACCTTTAATTGACAATTAAGTTTATAGGAATAAAAGATTTTTCATCAGCAACGACATTAATAATTTATGATATCGTATGTCGAGTAAAAGTATCAATGTCGTTCGATTTAATTGGCAAAAATTCTACTGATAACAAATATACGTGTGCAAGTTTGCTTTTAGGGAGTGAAGCTACGTATTTGCTCTCAGCTGCTGTTGACGCGATTAAGATCCCCTTCATACGGGCGACCGCGAAATTTGATTACCCTCCATCCGAGGCAGACCTAAAACGACACCCTTGTGCTCTTCCAATCCAAACGACGTGTGTTATGACCGGAAGATCGAAAGCCAAATGTGCGCAAAATTACGAATCTCGAAAACATCAAAATTATGTAAATATGTTTGAATGATTCTATTATTACATTACATAACCTCACTTTGTAATCCTAAAAGCAAAGAATCTTGTAATTTGACCCTAAGACGAAAAAGAATGAGAAAGAGAAGAAGAAGTGAAAAAGTAAGAAAAAAGAGCAATTTTTAAATATAAAAATGATATAAAAAATAATATAAATAATATAAAAAAAAATAAATAATAAATTTATTTATTAAAATTATGTTGATTAATATATATAAAAAAAAAATTAGTCTTAAATCAAGTTAAACATTCTCATATATAATTAAGAATATTATAATTTTCTTAAAAATTTTAATCTTGATTTGATAAAATTTATATTGATGCAAGTATTATTTTTGTTCAATTTAAAACTAAAATTATCTTGAAAAGATAATATTCTTGTTTATATTCTACAGAAAAATATAGTCTTACAAGGAAAGTATCCCCCCCCTCCATTTTAATGAACTTCGAGTATGTTAAAATGGATAAAAATAAGAGACACATATTTTCTTTATCTG